GGGATTATGCCAAAGTTGAATTCTGCATCTAATTTTCATGACAAAGAACCGCGAAGTCCAAGAAACTAAGCGTCAAGACGTGAATTGGATCCCTACTTTCTTCGCGAACTTATTCGCCATCTGGAAGGAAGATACGGAGATAAGCTCACTGAGTGGTAACCGCATCACCACCGATTACCAGACAAAATCGAGATTGTAATACGAACGTTGATCCTTCAGAATTAAAGCTTTCCGAATTTCACAGCGCGTGCGTTGCCGAACTCGATGCTGGGCATTTCAATCTCGATCGCTCCTGGTAAGATCGGCCTTGGCCAAGCTAACGATGGCAATGTTCATGAGAAGATTAATAAGCTGTCCCTACACGCCAATCGGAACGAATACCTCCGAGTGCTCTAGCTACGTGGGGTAACGGAACTTCTCCCCTTTCGCGGCATTCTCCCTTGCGGCATGCGGCAGATGTTACTGCAATTACCGTACTCACCCCGCCTCCCGAAAATCGATAGGACGCGATATTTTTCCTTGACTGGCTTGCTTTTTCATTGGATTTTATCGTTTTTTTCTTCTGTTTCCTTTTAGTTTTCATGTTTATTAGACTTGATTAATTAAAATGACTCCTCTTATATAGAAGACGATCAATACCGCATTGAAATTGAAGGGAGCGACCAGCCAAATCAAATGATTAAAGGACTCCCTACCTCACAAATTGCGCGCTCCAATCTTTCATCGCAATCCTGCGATAGGCGGCGGGTGCGGCGTGTGCGACGCCGTGTTAGGGGAGAAGTTTCCGGACCCAGCTACGTGTACATCTATCGAAAAGTCAACATATTATTCGGCTTCCCCAGCCTGCGCTCCTTCCTGTCCAGATACACGAAACAAAGACTGTAGCCTTACCATGAACAAGCCAGAAGAGCCCCCAGTCAATGTCGTTCAACGCGATATGTACAGGTCGATGTTCGAGGTTTCCCATAGATGCAGTGGTAGAAAGGAGAATTCCGCTTGCAGTCTCCAACCTGGATTGTAGATGCTGTGGCTTGCGCCACGGAATCGAAGATCAAATCTCGGACACATTGTGCGATTCTGTGATGACCGTTCGACAAGGAAGCTTATTGATTGTGCCTCTTAGGATGTTGAACGAACAGCAGGACAAGCTCTAACACGAAGCTTTCAGTCTTTTTCAATAGCTCTTGACGAGGGAAATTGTTCTTAAGCAAGGAGAGTGCTAAACCACATTGATTAGCCGAGGAAAGACAATATTACTTCCTCTCCCTGTTGTTTATTCTGTATTGTACCCAGAGAAACATACAGTACTCGCCGTAAGAACTCAAAAATTTACGAGAATACCGCGAATTCGCATCTTCTTCGTCTTTTCTTCATAAATCGTTTCAAAATAAAGTAATCGAGGAGAAAAAATACCATTGAACTCATATCATCGAGCTCTACAAGTTGATACGCTCCACCCGACATCCGTAAAGTGATTGCATGCACATGGGGAGCATGCTTTAGTGCTTGTAGGGGCTCATGGGCCCCTAGAGATGGCCCCCTACGAGTACCGCCGTGGATGGTCCCGAGGAGATCGCGCGATCAGTCGAGCGACCAGTTGAGCGACCAGTCGCTAGCGAGATGGGTCCCGACCGGTCGCCATTCGCTAGCGACTGGTCGCGCGACTGGTTGTGGACGATGAAAGCAGCCGATGGACGCATCAAAGTGCGCGGCAAACTTCGTGGTGATTTATACGACTCCGGTGCCTATCATTGAGGCGCAACTTTGGAGTATGTTAGATAAGTATCATCAACCGGCATACTTATCCAATCTACTCAAAACCAGTGCCCCAATGGAAGGAGCCGGAGTAGTTCAAATCACCACGGATTTCGCTGCGCAGTTTGCCGCGCCATCCAGATAATAGCTATGCAATGAAAACGGACATACTGGAGTTCATTCAAAAGAAGGGGTATGGGCGCCTAGTAAAAGGCTTTCGCAAAGTCAGAATATACTGCATACATGAACGTCCTTTTTTATATAATACTTCGTTCCAATCGTCTAGGGATAGAAGCAAAGCAGTCTCCACTTATCACTTCGCACAAGAGCCATGTTGTCAATATAGGGCAACTATTGCACTCTATGTGAGTCATGCGTCGACGTTTATTAGTTTTTTAAAATGCTCTCACGATTAGTGGGCGATTGCTTTCACCATTTGTGTAGAATGCCCTTTCTGGTACCGGTGCAACTAGTGAATACCTCTAACATGGAAACCTCACCCTTCATGGAAGAAAGATCGAAGATATGCTATAGGAAAAAAGTGTGCACAAGGAAGGACCATTTTGATGAAAATAACGGTTTCAGAAAAGATAATATTCGGTGTAATAGAAAAAGAATTTTGTCGAATTTTTTCTGTTACCCCCAGATAATACATATATCCCCTCTAGAAAGGACCAGGTATCTCGTATCTATGGGAACAAATGGAAGACCGCATAAGGAGGCAAATATGCAGTAATTATTGGGAAAGATGTTCAAAAAAAGAGTCATAGACCAGATGAAATCTACGTGTCACGAGCTCGGCTACATCTTTACATTTTTCGCAAAGTGGGATTCATCGACAAAAAGATAAGGTCTTTCTTCATTACCTTTTACCGTAGTAGTGTATCTTGGAAGTGAGGGCAACAGCTGTTGGTCGTACTTCTCTCCAAATCATATAGTTGTGTACCGGCATCTAATAAAAACCGGTATACTGTTGAGTTGTCACGTAGAAGTAAAAACCAAGCTGAAAACAGAGATCTTAAAAACGAGAGCTCATGCTGGTATTCACTGCTAATGCATATCTATACACTAATCACTAGGAGACACTGGGTTCATGAACAGTCCTTATAAACTAGACACATATTGGTGGCTGAACTTATCAATTCAGTGTCGGAACCAAATCAGCTGAGTTAGAGGGCTACTGTTATTCCTATGAGCAGCCATTACAATGGCATATTTTTGAAATTATGTCGATTTTGAACTTCTCTCACGGAAGCTGTTCTTTGGAAGCTTCATGCGCAATATTTCCGGTCTGTGATAATAAGGACTTCGGTAGTTCGAGAAATCATAAGTGGTCATGCTAACACCCACGCACTTCTTTTCGAAGGCAGTGATGGCCATCCTTCATCTTTAACTATGTACCACTCTTTTCACAGCATTCAACGTTGAGACAATCTTAAGGTCTATTAATTTTATGGTGGAAGGAATTCAGGAGATAGGCGAGATTAGACCTCTGATGAGGATTGACACTAATAAATGTCAATGCTTATGCAATATTTTCTAGATTTGCTACTGCATGTTAACAAACAAACCCCATAAACAAACTCTCAAGCCCTGGACTAGTGCAGCACCTAGTGCAGATGTGAATGTGCATAAATACATTTGGGAACGAATTTGATAAGAACTCTACAGCATCTTGAAGATGGTGTCCAGCTGTGATAACATCGACATATGGCTCCAGATTATGAGCGGTGTTAAATTCGTCCCAAGGAGTTGTGACCAACCCTAGTCAAAATTTTGAATCGGAGATGAACGCACTTTGAGATGGGACTGACTAATGTCAAAGTATGTATCTATTTTTCTTGTTCGATTCGATACCGTTGTTTATGTTCCAATTCATTGGATTAGATCGAGATAAGTTTGGTGAATCCCAGGAATAGCACTAGGCGAATAGAGCGATTAGATGTAGCGACAAACGAAGCTGAATTTAACCTTTCTTGCTCTATCAACATGGCTCTCGCTACCACATTTGTCATGTAGCCGTGACAAAAGAACATGCCTAACAGGAAAGCTCTATGTATTGAGGTATACTCCTAACTTCATCTGTGGGAAACGAGTTTGTCTCGTAAGAACTCCGACCTGACAAAGGTCATCGCGGCATGCTATTCATAACACATCCAAGTCAAAGCAGTAGTAGTCATTAAATCAAACCAATTACGCCACGCCAGCCTATAGGAGACTCACTTTCTGTAGTAAAGTCATTTATACTTTTGCACTTTCCATGGGGAATGTACTTGATTCTCTCACTGTTTAAAAACAAGTCTTTTCACCACAAATCGAACTTGCTTGGATTGATGTCATAGATTTGATTGATGTCATATGTCATCATCTCATTGATGATTGTTAAATTGATTCATACCTACTCGGTTTACTGAGCACTATGGATTTTTCTTCAGTTTTGACTTGATGTTTTGTTAACTGCTGTTTTAACGCAAGCGAGGGCAAGCGGGGTCTCGGTAGTGTAAGGGATAAGAGCACGGTCCCCGGAAAGGACAAGTACGGGTTCGAGTCCCGTCCGAGACTAAGTTTTGCCCACAAATCGCCAACCTTGTGAGGTTTTTCTTCATTCAGTTGTTGGCACTCTATCGTTCTCTTGAGCACGAATGCTATTGGCATTGTGAATTATACGCCATAAGAGTATCACATGTCTAGGGCTTGTGGACCGCAAGAAGGAAGCATTTTCAATGCACCAACTTTGCGAAAAATCATATTAAATATTGTGGGAGTTTACAATCAAAGCGCGTGTGTTTATGGGCTTCGTTTCTGTGAATATCAGCCTAGGATTTCGAAGAAAGAGAACACAAAACCGTGCAACAGGTTTTGGATTTCGATACGGCTACTCAAGTGTCATTCTCCCCAGATTTAAAAGTGTGGTGTTTACCATGAAGCGGTCAAATAGAGTGTTGCGTCCGGCGGTAGCCGACAGAAGCAGAGTGATTATTAGACAATAAACTGAATTGTACAAGCAATCGCGGGGTTTATATACCCCAATGAAATCATGGCTCGAGCGCGAAAGTGATAAGTATTCATCATTAACAGTATCAATAACTCCTGATTACTACAGCACCTCCCCCTAAGATGGACGTTCTAAGCGTACGCCATCTTCTTGGGATCGACCATCAACGCAGCAAACCACTCAGCAAACCACTTGAACCTAGCACTTCCCTAGTAGATCATCCAACGGTGCACGCAGTTGTCGCATCTCACTAATGAAGTGTCCGCAGTAGGTAAGCACCCCAAGAACGATCGCACCTGACCGGTGTCCGTGGAATTTGGTATCTTGCGAAACACCTCGATCTCGGCAGGGTCAAGTGGCGTCCAGTGGAGTCGATAATAATTCCAAGGTATCGGCATTGAGACATAGGAAAATTGCACTTGTCCACTCGAACGCGGAAGCCATAGTCGGGTGTCCTCTTGAACAAGGCTTCGCGATTGGCGACGTGCTCCCCGATGTTGCGGCCCGTGACCATAAGGTCGTCGAGGTAAGCAGCGGAGCCTTCAAGTTTATAAATCATGGAATCTGTGATTCGCTGGAAGATGCTTAGTGCAGACTTGACGTCAAACGGGAGGCGATTGTAGCTGAGCAGTCCTCTGTGCGTATTGATGGTTAGTAGCTCCTTCGCTTCATCATCGACTTTGATTTGAAAATAAGCATTGGCGAAATCGATCTGTGTAAATGTTGTGCTACCTTTTACTTCCGTGAATACGTCGTTCGGAGTTGGCAGCGGGTGTTGATGTAGCATCAGCGCGACGTTTAGTCCAGTGAAAAATCAGCATAGAGTCGTAGTGTTCCATTTGTTTATTGACGACGACGATCGTGGCTATTTGGCGGCAATCTCTTCCTGGCACGAAGCCGCAGGATCAGCAACGATGGTCACTCCACGGATGTATTTTCGTCGTGGTTCCACTAGTTCCAATCTTCTGAATCCATTCCCAGTCGAAATGTCGAGTTTTTCGGCTCCACGGTGCTGCCTTCCATCTGAGCTTCTAAGCACGAAGTTGACAAGGATGTATACTTTGTGGGGATCCTTGTTCCGTTTTCAGCATTGACGATCGGGTCGAATTTCTGTAGCTGCGGTCTTCCGAGTTGCTTCCAACTCGATTCTGATATCAGTGTAATCATAGCGCCAGTAACAAGTAGAAGATTCAAGGGACGCCCATTCACTTCAACTTCCACGTGTGGTTGGGTGTGCTCGCGTACAGCGTCCTTAATGCTCTCGATCTGACAGCTTCTTGCTCTGTTACGCCTGGTCTGTGGGCGTGACGGTGGCAGCGATTCCTGTTTACCAAGTCTTGAATTCCGAAGCGCATTGAATTCTTTCCCATTTCTTGGTTTTTGCTTCTGGTTGAAATTTTNTTTTCTTTTTCTCTTCCTACCGACGTAATTGATCGCAATGTTAGGGCTTGTTTTCCAGCATTCTTGCACTTTCTTTGTACGACTTGATGAGTTGACACTGGCTGTGTGGTCTTTGATCGTGATGTCATGTCCTTGATCTGGTTCATCAGTAGTCGTGTTCCGTAGCCAGCGAACTCGGCTCCCTTGAATCCGACAACGTAAAAGAGACACTGAAGGTCATCAAAGCTTATGGAGTCGAATTTGGCATCAGAGCATAGGTGCGCACAAGTATCTCATAGCTATTGGAATCCCGGTGGCCGTACATGATTTTGAAGCATTCAAACCGTCGACGGAACAAGGTCTTCGCAGAATCAAATAGGCGGTCCATGGTGGCAACTCTTCATCCCACGACAGTTCTGACGGCGACCTCGGCGCAAATGAACCGCAAAACAGCTGGGGAGAGTCATCGTCTAAGCGGCTAACTAGCAAGCGCGTCCTTTTTTGCTCACATAATTGCGTACAATCGTTGTCGAAGACGTCCTTGAAGCGTTCGAACCATATATCAAACGTTCCTCCGTTTTCTGCATCGAAGTTGTATTTGTCGATGCGCCGACAAAAGGAACCGAAAATGCTAAATTTCGCAGCTGCGGGATTCGTTCCATTCATCCGCACTTCCATCATTTCCAAGGTACGGAGGGAAGGATTCCTTTTGCTGTTTCTGCAGCAAAAGGAACCCTCTTTTGCTGTTTGAGCATCAGCATGTCCCCTAGCGCTCCATCTGGTCTTGCATCAAATAGAGAGTCTCGGTAAGCTATCCATGAGTCCTTACCTGATCGCTAGTTGTTGCGTCCTGAGGTAGCCGACAGGAAGCAGAGTGTTCATTAGACGAAAAACTGAATTGCACTACCAATCGAGGGGTGTATATACCCCAATGGCTTGAGCGCGAAAGTGATAAGTAACATGAAAAGTATCAATAACTCCTGACTGGTACAACACAAAGTAAGTCAGTTTTCATCGTTATCAAACTCAATGATCAGTATCCAACATCTGTGCTTTGTCGAAAAATTGATTATTTTTACAAATTAGTTCATTCGGCTGAAGAGGTTTCTGCATTATCGCGTTACTTCTTCAAAGGATTCTTTACAGGAGATATGTCATTCAGCTAGCGGTACTCAAGTTGGTGAAAAGGGAACCCGGAGCCTCGTACAAATTTGTTCACGTCGAGAACGTATCATTCCCATCAGTGCACACACTTGACATTTTTCTCACTGGTATTTCATCGAATAGTGAGGCAAAATTCTAGCTCTGTGTTATATGTATTGTATGTGTGTTAAAAGTGTTCCAAGTTGCCGAGAGAGTTCTTAATCTGAAGCTACGCAATCTTTAAGACTTTATCTTGATCCATTTATTTTAAAAAATAGCGATTCGCAGGGTTGCAATTTTGGTGTTTTTGCGGTGACTTTCGATGCAAATGCTTCACGTGCGATACGATTTCGCGTGATGGGTAGTAGAAAGTGTTCGACACACACATACGATATGCTCGAGACCAGGAAGCGACAATCATTAGCAGTTGAGTTTGTCATGCTTTTCATCACCGCTGAACCACTATATCGCCGAGAGACTTCCCTGACATTATGGAAATCATAAAATTACATGTTCCAGTGAATGATGTCCATGGTGGTCAGCGGTGGGCGATTAGTAGCGACTTGCGGAGACCGAAGTGTTCGTGTATCCCGGAACATTCCTGAGTATCACGGTCAGGTGATTAGACTCACCAAAGTTAATTAGGATTTGTTAAGCTATGTCGATTTTATTGATATTCGAGGCTATCCTGAATCTGAAGGATGGCAGTGGTGACGCTCTAAGAAGACATATGCATGAGCAAATCGAGGAGGCCAAAGTGATTTCGAAAAGTATTGTGCGTAAACAATAGCTCGTGGAGAATTGGCGGCTGAGTTGTAATTATGAAACTTCCTCTGGCGCCATGGTGTAGACGATAGACAAGAGTGAGCAATTTGAGCTTTTTGATAGGCAATTTCTTAGATTGGTCAGCTGTAACTAAGCATTTGGAAAAAGCTGTGTGGTAGCGGTTTTGGAGAAGAAAAAATTAGGAAAATATCTACTAAATAATGAAACACAGCTCTTTATCCTTTTGATTGAGCTGAAGGGTGAATGGGTCTCTGTGCAATCCACAAGGCCTAGGTTTTAAAATAATCGAGGCAATCTTTCTGGAAGCGAACACGAGTTGTTCGGATACTTTGTACTCGTTGTGCAATAGAAGAAATGCACTTCTTCGGTGCGCATTGATGGAAGGGGGTAACTCATTAGACCACGGGGAGCAGTTGCATTGTTCAAATGAAAAACACTTACAAGCAAATTCAAGCATTTCAGTAATCCTGCCATAACCTAAGGAATATTTAATTAATTACTGATAACGACTTCTTCCAATGTTCATACCAGTGTCTAGAAATTACCCGTTATGTTCTCTGTTTGTTGAATTTGGTTCAATGAAGACTTGCCGCACAATGGCCTATAAGCCTTGTTTTCGTTATTTGTCAGAACATCATTTGAGTTCCCTTCGTAGTTTCTTAGCCTCTCCCCCCTCCCCCTTACCCACCCCATCCTCTAAACAGTTTGTAATCACTGTGGTGAACGTTCTTTGAAACAAGGGTTCGTACGGAAAGGCTCACAACGTTGAGGCAGCCATCTATTACATTATTTGGTTGGTAACCAACAAAGAGCGTTTAGCTGTGCTAGACAAGCCGCGGAATTGTTTTGTTCTGATATCGAGGCATTCCATCAAACGTTCCGACTTTTTACTGAATGAACCTTTTGTTAAACTTGGTTCATCGCCGATCGATCGGATATAATGTTTTTTCCTTCTTCGGGTCTTGAAAAACGAAAATGAATGGATAGGATTATGTGTTATAGTTTTATCCAATCTCGCTTTGGAGCTTGCCTCAACAATCGGCTTTACCATCGTTATCGCAAAGACGGATTGAATGCTTATGTGACCTATACAATGACAGCCGCTCTACTGGCAAATGCTTTCATCCGTCCAAATTCGGTACCCATCAACCGACTGGAGAAGAACAGAATTATTAGTTGGCTAAGGCGAATAATCATTACAAGATCCGATCCCCGGTTCGTGCTAGTGATGGTGTGCGCTATTTGCGACCATACTCCCTCCGTCGGAAAAGTATCTAGTAATTTCGCAGAGGTCCAGTTCCCACTCTGAACTATGTCTTGCCATCGTTTTTGAGAATTGAGACCTAGCCGAGGTACCATAGCTGATACTCTGCAATGTATTGGAGAGCCTGGATTTTTGGAAAAAACGGATAGCAGAAGGTTTTGAACTTCCGGAGAAAATAGCTGATGGAATGAGTCACTGCACAGTAATTGATTCCATACATGAAATATGAGTACCTTAAGATGTTGCACCTGAGAGGTGGATATTCGTGCCATTGAACTGTGCACGGTGCGAGGTAGAACTTAAGTCAGCTGGAAGGGAAAAGCTTGAGACGCTGCGAGACAGCGACAGATACATTTCAGAAGGCGATTTGAAGATCTCAAGCTTGACAGCTTGCATTTTAAATTACCTGATCGAGATTGTGCGTTTATAGAAATTAGGAC